ACCCATACATCACCTCTTTCACGACTTCGCAAGCCGAAATTTTCACCGCCCTGAAGAGGGCGAGCGGTCACAACGATTGACAGGCCAAAGAGAATGACTCGGAGGCCCAAACGCAGCAGGGGATGGCGGAGGATGCGAGGGGCCAGCCCGAGGGGACGTACGATTTGATTTTTGCAATGACGGTTTGAGCAGAGAATGGTGCAGATTATTTGACGGTCAGGAAATTAGCAACAGGGGTTTGGGACTTGAGGAGGATTCAGATGTGATGACGGAAGAGGTGCTGGAAGGGAACAGCCATCAGGTGAAATGATAGTAGATAAGTCTGCAGGGGAAGATGAAGAAAACCCCAGCGTTTTCCCTCTCTTCGCCCAACCCAATTTGGGGTGATATTGGGCAAAGCATTCTCTCACTTTTCCCACTCTACCGGTACGCTTTCTCGTTACCATTGAGCGTTCAGTATCAATGATCAGGACATCTCACAACAGCACTGAGTATATAGAACATTTGATTTTTATTTCCTCCAATTATAGAATTACTGTGTCTCTTCCGCTCTGTCGTTGGCGCCCAAGGGATGCTCCCACGTCGGGAAAAAAAAGAAGAAAAGATCCCCGTCATGATTCGTTGAATTCGCCACCGATATGTTGTGGCTTGGCTGGCAAAAGGGGTTTTGGGACTCGGTGAAAGTGTGGAGGTGAAGAATGTGAAATGAGGCAATGTGTGACTTTTGAACAAGGTTTGATTGAGAGCAAAGCAATGGTCAAAAGCGAGAGTCTAGCGGCCGTCTCGAGCCAGCCACGATGCATAGAAACAAACATGCTCGCCAGTAATGCCTTCGCACAGGAAAACGCCGGGAACCTTGTGGCAATGTTTTGGAGCCAAACGCAACATCGACTCTGAATGTATAGATGTCCGTTCGATGGAAGAGGCAATGCAGGCGTGGGATGGGTGGACTTTGGAGATACATCAATTTCTTTCTAGTATCAGCGCGGGGCTTCAAGCTCGGAAAAAGTTAGGCGGAGAGGAGAAATATTCGTACCAGGATCGGCTCGGCATCTGGCTACCTGCTGCAGCATAAGACTTTCATGATCTTCTGAAGGGCTGAGGGCTGCGTCTCGGCATTCTGCTGTCTCGGTCCTTGTTGAGCGGCTGACGACTGATTCAGACCTGGATTAACCTGGCTCATTCGGTTGGGGAGGTTCGCTGTTGAGTTCTGAAATTGTGCCTGAGTCGACGCCGTCGGTGTGACGATATCTGTGAGACCCCCCGCCGCTCCGCTTTGACGCTTTGGTAGCGCTGCGCCAGAGGCGCCTGGCCGTTCGCGCGTTTTGCCCACTCCCGGTTTCGCGGGAGATGGGGGCAGGGGCTGCGCGGCGTTTAAACGAAGGGCAGTGACTCCTGGTGTCCCAGGTCCTCGTGGTGTATCAGCTCCGCCGCCGAGCGCCCGGGCTGACGAGTTGGGTACTGCATTTGCTGCATGCAGGTGCTGCGAGGGGTGGTGCTTCATGGCCTCCCATCCTTTGCCATTGTTGAGCTTCATCCAGTCATACTCTCCATCTTCGACTTCGCCGGTGTTCTTGAGCGCTTGAGTGAACAATTCGCGCAGATAGTCGTAGTCTGGAGTATCTTCAAAGCCAAGATTCCTGACGTAGCTAAGGTATTTGTTGAACTCCTCTGCCACTGTGTTCAGTTTAATATCATCCCTTCTCGATAAAATATAGAAACCTACCAGGATAGCCATCGCACAGATCCTTGATAGCGGTAGTCTGCTTCTTCTCTCCGATCTTTTCGTACTTCTGCTTGTTCGTCGCTGCTTTCAAGCCCTGCCATGGTAGACCGCCTCGCAGGAAGTACATGAAGACGTGTCCCAATGCTTCAAGATCGTCTCTTCGCGATTGCTCCCGCCCCAAATGCGTATTTATACTCATATATCGCGCAGTACCGGACAGCGATTTCCGTTCTCTGTATGGTATGTGTTGTTTCGTTTTGGGATCTCGGTATTGCTTCGCCATGCCAAAGTCAACGACGTGAATGACATTTGCTGATTTAGAGCCAGGTCTGCCGATGAGGAAGTTGTCAGGCTTGATGTCTCGGTAGATTAAATTCTTCTCATGGATGGTCTGGACTCTCGATAACTATGGAATGGTGAGTATCAATTGCCTAACGATACGTGAAATCATTCGCCGGGATCGTACCATCTGCTTCGCCACCATGACCACTGTCTTTGCTGAAAACCGTCGATTGCAGTGGTCGAACAGATCTTCCAGGGAAGGTCCTAGGAGATCGATAACGAGTATGTTGTGAAGACCTTCTTGGCCAAAATAGTAGACATTAGGTATGCCAGCTAAACAATATTAGCAAACCCGCACTCTAGGAGCGCTGGCGGAGACTTACGGCAGCCCACTAGTATTTTGTAGGTTCGGTATTCATCGCGCAATTGTGGCGCATCGCTTTTCCTCGGTTCCTGGCCCTAGTCAGCATTTACAAGGAGATATCTCACCATGCATGAAACACACAAATTTGATTGCGACTTGTTGGTTGTTCAGCAGATTTGTGCCCTCGAATATGACACCAAATGAACCCTCGCCAATCTTCTTACCAACACGGTAATGGACACCCACCACATTCGAGGAAGAGGACGCCATAGCGTAGTGTAGAAGGCCGTCGCGGGCGAGTCGGAGCTCTCTCTCCTGCGGGGTCTCGTCGTCCTTATCAAACGCAGCTTCCAACTCTTATTTTTCAACTTGGTAGTTTTTGTCGGCCTCGCGACTTTGTGCTGGGGTATTGTTAGCTAATCGCTGTCTAGAAGTGATAGGCATGTTTGCAAAGAGATATTACATGGTCAAATTGGTGGTGCTATCTCCCGCTCTGTGATTTGATCTGAAGGCGTCGCAATGAATGAGCATACCAAGTCTGGGTGTGCTTTGGTAGCTGAATCGTTCCTTCCGCTGTTGTTGAGTCGATAATCCGCTCGCGCTGCCCGCTCCTGATATCCACCTCGGCCTTCTTCAATCCAGATCTGGCGATACGTTGACTATTCCATTGATGCCTGAGGAATCATGTGAACTGATTCGCAATGGTTTTGATTGTTGTGATTGGTGAATAGTGATGCTGGAAAGGAGAGAGGATGGCTTGCTAAGCCCAGCCTGACACCCCAGCTCGTTACCGTCAAACCGACAGCGGGGGACAGGGAATTAAGAATTAAAGACAATGAAGGGAGCAATGAACAGCGATGTAATTTAAATGTAGCTGCGCAGGCTGTTGTTGTTATGGTGGTGAGGATGTATGAGTGCCGTGTGAAGCAATGGCTCTTGTCAAATGAGCGCCAAATCACACTAAACCCGGCACGGTTTAGATTAATGTTCTACTGGTACTCTGCACCTTGACAGTCTAATATCTTGTTTCTATACATGGAAAACTGTATATCTTGGACTTTCTTGTATGCTATCTGCGTAAGCATATATCATTCTACAGAGCAAGCTCTTTTTGGTGTGTAGTTGAACCAAAAAGAGGATACATCAAAGCGGCGCAGCTCCACTGCTTAAGCATGTCAGTTCAAGGCCTCCATGCAACCGATACGATGGTCAGATTCAGGCTTTAAAAGAGAATCTTATAGTAAGCTGGGAATTGCAGCTTCACCAATGCGTCAGATCGACTTGACCCTCAGGAACCATCCCCTAGAATAGCCATCTCGAAGGTTCGATACCTCAAATGAGCCATTCATTGCGGCAGCTTACCTAGCCTACACTGCTCTTCGGTTGACGCTTGCTCTATTTTGACTCCATTTCCTTTTTGTTCCTACGCTGCTTGCTCAAGCTTGGGGAGTAACGTGGCCGTCTTACCTTGAAACGACGCGACATACTCTTTTGCCTACCAAGTCCATTTCCATAGTAAGCATTTTCGGCTGCAAAGGAGGCGACAAGGTCTTGATCCTCCGAGTCCCCGTCACCCAGTCCGAGCCTTCTATGCGCCTTCCATACTTTCTCTGGCGGGTTGAGAAGCCCGAAAGGATGTCTACAGCCCTCAGCCGCGCCGTTAGCTACGATACCACCTGGACCTGCACGTTCGCCGACATCCGAATCATCGTCGCGCGATTCCATAGGCACTGGTGCTACCCATATTGCATCCGTATGTCCTAGTAGAGGTTCAACATGGAGTTCATGGAACGTCATCCACATTTCTGCGTCAGTCCTCGTACCATCGTTCCTGATGCATCGTTCATATGCTGCTAAGACATCTGGAGATGGCACACTAGACGCGAAGATGCGCCTCGATTCAATGCTTAAAGCAACGCGGCAGCTGTGAAGGTAGGGGCCACGGTCATGAGGATAGTTGATTGGACAGAAAGGGGAGGTACAGCCTTGAGACGGGTTCGTTGCATTGACAACCAAGGAAGTAATGCACGGAGGCGTCGATGGCGCGGTTGAGTTACTAGGGGAAGAACTCGATGTCGGAGTAGTAATCGAGGTAGTCGCCATGACCAATACTTCTCGCGCTGGCTCGTAATGATCGGCTGCTGTTCAGCTTGAAGTTTGTTGAAGAGGAATGTGGGTATTGCGAAAAGTTCTTGAAGAAAGGCAGCAATAGAGTATGTGGACGATTGAAATCGGGATCATGTTTTCTAATTCTTTGAAACGTCGGAACAATGCAGCGCGCTTCAAACAAAGGCCGTTGGTTCAACGTTTTCTGTTGCAGAGAGTATAAGATATCCATCTCTAGGCTTTGTCGACGCTCTTCACAACAAGTGCATGCTCAGCATTACAATGATCAATGCCATGTGGGGGACAGTATGACCAAACCAGAAAATAGACATGGGAGTCTAGGCTCGATTTTTGTTAGGACAGATAAATGTGGGATCGATCGATCAGCTGGATGTTGAATTACCGCATCTTATGGCTAAGGGTGCCTTTCTAACGCAGCGGTCTTGCTCTCTTCGAAGCTAAGAAAGGGACCGGCACATGCTTGAAGCTTTCAAGGGTCTGCTCGAGTCGTAAAATTGAAAGCTAGCCCGTTCTTCCTAGCATCATGAGACCAGAGTCTGTGCGGTTGTTAGACAAAGTTGGCAACTTGCACTGAAACACACACCGATCTGAATGTTCTGGCCTGTCATGGAGCTGTTTCTCGCTGCAGCAACGAATGCGTCTGCACAGTCTTCAAGGCCAGTCTGCTCGAGGATCAGCTTGCATAAAATCTCGCGCTGATTGTCGCCAGACAAACCTCTTTCTTTAGGTAGGCTTTCTCTTTCAGCTCCTGAAGCGTTTCCGGTGTGAAGTTGGCGCCCTAGATTGGCGTCAGTCTAAAGAACGCATGAATTTTCGTAAAGTCTCACCCATTCTGTCAAGAGCAGTCCGGGAAGAACAGCATTAACTCTGACCTTCGGGCCTTGAGTCGAGGCTAAACACTTCACTAGTTGGAGTCCTTGAAGAAGAACATCAGTAATTCCTGCCGCCATTACGGTTGATAGAGTCCTAACCTGCAGCTTTGGTGACGGAGTATGCCATGCTGCTGCCGGAGGCCGCGATGCCCGCAACCGACGAAGTCAGCAAAAAAACTCCACCCTCTGCATTGGCGTTCAACGTTGGCAAAGCTTCCCGAAAGATGTGCAGGTTTGCTTTGCAGTTGACGGCCCAGCACTGTATTCGAGTCAACGGCATCCCGTAAAAGGACTCTGCTTCAATACCTTATCCCATTCGGCTTCACTGAGGGCATCAAGATCCCCGAATCTAGTGAATTTCGTCCAGCCCTTTGTACGTCAGACGAGGTCATAATATCGCAATAAAACGTTCCAGTCATAAAACCTAACAATGCGAACAGCGGAACCTACTGCATTTGAGATAATGACGTCCAGACCACCCAATCCAGCGATTGCTTCTTGCACAATTCTCTCACAATCCGCAAGCTTTCCCACATCCTGACCAAGCTGTCAGACCGCTATTCGATGTATGAGAGCGAGGAATTCGAAATCATACTCCTTGGATCAGGATGGGCTTGGTCTTATACTCTCTCTCTATCTTCTCGGCCGCCTGATCCGCTTTGTCTTGACTTGCATTGTAATTTATGGCCAGCTTGCAACTTTCAGCGGCGAACTTCTCCGCTACAAGAGCGCCTAGGCCCCTACAGTTTTGGGTAGTTCTACCTCAGCTTCAAGCCATACGTGTCGCTGGATGACTTAGGCTGTTTACCTCGATGCTCCTGTAATCAGTACCTTCCTGCCCTTGAGATTGTAAGGCATTGCTTCGTCGTTGCTTTGGTGTCAATCTCTTGCGACTCTACTAAATCTTGTCTTTCGTCTGAAGTCGATGTTCAGCGTCACCAAGCCCCACATGAGTCATCCCCGCAACGGACCCTGCAGATTCCGGCAATAGCCACCAGCCGCTTTTGCATTTTTTTCCTTTTCAGATATCATACTACGATCGCGACAGCTTTGAGGCGTTCTGGTCTAGTGACCATCGACCGAATCCATAGAAAGCAAAACCTGGTTCATCGAATCATGCTGACGAGGTGTGCCGTGGTCAATCATGTCACCCTTTTTGGCAGCTCGTAAGGGCGGGGCTTCTACGCCGCCCTCAAACTTGATCCTATCGACCTTGAGCACTCGGTCATCACAAGTCCGCACGTAAGCGACTCGTTCATCGGCACAATCGTTGTTTCCGAATACCACTAGCCGTCCAACAGGAAGATCTGTACTACTAGCAACCTCTTCTGATATCGTAAAGCCCGTGGACCAAATTAACCTCCGTACTTTTCGTGCATTTTTGACGAAGCTCCATAGAGGACCAATGGCAAGATGTCTTCGAATGATTACTTCAGCGGTCCATGTATTCCAGTCTATGAATCTATCCCGCGAGGTTATCTTTGGTGCTGCACGTGCTGCCGCTATAATCCGATCATCTTGGAGACTATTCGGACCCTTCGCTGATTGTAGATAGAGACGATTATTGATGGATTGCACAAGTATTTCCGCGCCTTTGGAGGACGTCAGGGTCAACAGTTCGGGCACCGTACTACACCCATGCTCGAATCCAGGGTAGGGCGTCTGGGCGAGAATGGTACCCTGATCGAATCGCTCGGGATGTAATGTCTGCACAGTCACTCCAGATCTTTGGCATCCAGATAGAAGAGTATGATGTAGTGGGGCAGGACCATGGAAGCTACATGCATTAGTTGACTCTGGAAAAGCACTGGGTGAGTGCTTTGGTCTCTTACTCGGGTAACATGGAAGGGTGGACGTTGAGCCCTCCATATCTGGCTCCTTCGAGAATTCTTGGAGGTATAAAAAGACCAAAGGAGACGGCAACGATCATATTTATTGGCAAGCCATTAGGTATCGGTGGCTAGATCCATTAACACTGGTAAATTTTTACCGTGAAAACATGAAAGTCATATGAGACTGACCTTCCACTTGGTGAACGTGTCAATCTCATGTAAAGACAAGGCCAATTCCTTTGCAACGAGGGAAATGGGTACTAACATTGGTTTAGAATGGACACGAGGAATCGAGCATGGAGGACTTTACCTTCCCGTGTATCTTTAAGGCCTCTACCTACGTGCTTGGGCGGTCGACAGACAACATCGATTGACTCGATCAAGCCCTCGTCTCGCTCATGCTCCTTGTGTAAGGCTCGGAGGGAGGTAATACTAAACTCATCAGATCCGCAGAAAAGGATACGCAAAGGTTCGAAGGTTGCGTGACTTGTGTAGGAACGTAGTTGAAATATCCTTCCAATGAGATACTTGATTGATCGAGAGGATGGCTGTGGTCGCATTATTTCTTGAAGCGAGGGTTTTTCGCGATTCGGGATGTTTCCGTCTCGCTCAAAATTCTAAGGTAGGCATTTAGATATACTCGTGGATTCCAGAAATGAGTTACTTGATAGAGCGAGGACACCAATAGATCAAGCGACATGCCGCTGAGTGGAAATATCTATTGGTGTCCTCGCTCTATCAAGTAACTCACTTCTGGAATCCACGAGTATCTGTACCTCTACAAGTATAGCTTAGTCCTTTTGTTATAAATTTTTCATAGTCTAGCAGCGTAGGACTCGTAGCGATAAGAAGATTAATCTATACACATTTATCTTTATGATCCGACATGTACTTGTATTAGGGGCCTTGACAGAGCTCAATGTCAAGCGTTGCTGAGAATATTGACTAGCACGCTAACTGAAATTCCCCTCAGGTAATACTTTAGCCAATCCAGACTCTCTCATGCAGGGACCGAGCTTAGCGCCAAGCCTAAGATACTTTACTTAACTCCTGCCAAGACTCGATCTCTTGGCAGAACCCGCTGCCCCACACTGTACTTGACATGAGTGAGGAAAGGTAGGTGCGACTGGTCAATGGCTATCATGACATTGTCAAATGCCTCTGCTAAAATGGACAGGGCCGTGGTCACGAGGAACACGTCTCCATCCACCGTTATCGACTTAGCTAGCAACCTCAGCGACTGGGTCCCTTCGCCTTGGCTCAATCGGCATTAACCTCCTAGGAGATAGATCAGCCGATCACTATTGCAATGACCAATAACGAGAACCAGCCTCTCCTTCAGGATGGCGATTTGGAAGAGCGCCAATCTGGGACAAGACAAAGCTATCACGGCATCGTCGTCGCAGTCTCCTATGACAACTCAACGCGCAAGCAGACTAGGCGCTTCCTCTCCTCCATATACGGCCACTATGCTGTGTTGCTACTTGTGTCCATGGATGTGGGCTGTATCTTTGCCGATTTCCTCATCAGCCTATACATCTGTGACCATTCTTGTGGCAAAGGTGATAGCGTTGGGGATGGCCTGCCTAGAGCACAGGATGCGCTCGGGATTGTCAGTCTTGTGTTCAGCTGCCTGTTCATGGTTGAGTTGCTGGCGAGTATTTGGGCCTTTGGATTCAAGTTAGTAGTACGATTTCGGGCAGATCAATCATTGCTAACAGCTAATCTAGTTTCTTCAAATCCAAATTCCACTGCTTTGATGCTGCAATCATTGTCGCGGGCTTCATCATTGACGTTTGTATGTACATTCCAGAGCAAAACCTACTCCTTTATTACCCAAAGTTGCTCGACTACTTATATGTGTGCCCCGAAGAAGAGACGCTGACCCCAAACTCTCCGTAGGCCTAAAGGATGTGCTTGAGGAGGCTGCGTCAATCGTTGTCATACTGAGACTATGGCGCGTGTTCAAAATCGTGGAGGAATTCAGTGCTGGAGCCTCAGACCAAATGGAAGTACTTGGTGAGAAGATGGAAAAACTGGAGGCAGAAAATCAAGGGTTGAAGCGTGAGTTGAGAGCTTTGAAGGATGATGATGATGGGCAATGAGTGTGCATGTTGGCGCGAGGCGTCTTATCATCCGGAGGATTGGTGACTTTGCTTAGAGCTTCTTGGACGTCATGAAGATGGGCTATTCCTGTTGTAGCACTCACACCATTGTCTAATCCGTTTTAATGCACGTTATTCTGTTTAATCTATATGTTCGGGATGAGTCTGCAAGTATTCCTTAGAGTGGGCTATGTATGTGGTAAAGTACCTTATACACTGAGACTGCCAAACAGGGGTCCACGGCTATACTTCGGTATCCGGCTGGCGCTGGCGCGCCACTGAATGAATGAGTGAGCATGATGTGTGTCTGGCACATTGATCAATATAGATAATACACCCAGCCGTCTACTAAGAAAATTTCGTTCGGCCTCAGTGTCAAGTTGCAATAAATCAGTCCCCTAAAGTTACTCTGCGCTCTCGTCGGTGTATGAGCTCCCCAGATCAACACTCTTTATTGGCCTGAACAATCCTGTTGATCCTCACGGCCGACCCTCGAAAATTAGACCGTTCGTTCCCTGTATCCCTGTTCGCTGGCCTACGAACAAGACCACAGAGTGACTAGAAGAATCTCGCAGCTGGTCAGAATATGGGCCAGACACTATCTGAGCCGGTAGTCGAGAAGGTGCGTGTTCCTGGCCAAACCTGAGTCGCAAACATCGAGGTCGCGTGATGTGCTTGATTGCTCGCTTCCATAATTGGCGGCTCACTATCAAAGGATCCTGCTGTTTTAAATCCCCTTGAATTGTGGCTGACAGTCTTGTAACCTAGATCTCTGACGACGGCCAAGATGATCGAGTGGCATTCGGCGTGTCTGCTATGCAAGGGTGGCGTATTAGTATGGAGGATGCACATGCGGCTGTTCTAGATTTGCAAGCAGAAGATGCAGACAAAGGATTTGTAGCTGCAACTCCGGAAGACCGACTGAGCTTCTTCGGGGTATACGACGGGCATGGCGGAGACAGGGTTGCGCTGTTTGCGGGCGAGAACATACACAAGATTCTAGCAAAGCAAGAAGCGTTCAAGAAAAAGGATTTTGAGCAAGCGCTCAAAGACGGATTCCTCGCAACGGATCGAGCAATTTTGAGCGGTGAGTTCTCGAACTTTGGGTTGGAAGTGCCAACCTGATTGGCGTATATACAGATCCGAAATACGAGGAAGAGGTTTCCGGCTGCACTGCATCTGTCGGGTTGATCTCGAAAACTACGATATACGTGGTCAGTGACATTCTTTGATCCCTTCAGAAGGCATCGTCTGTTAACAAGCCCTCAGGGAAATGCTGGTGACTCACGTTCTGTTCTTGGGGTTAAAGGCAGAGCAAAGCCTTTATCGTACGATCATAAGCCTCAAAACGAGGGTAAGTGTTCATTGCTTTGTCTCCTAGGGCTGTGACTTACTGTTAAAACAGGAGAGAAAGCTCGAATATGTGCTGCCGGAGGTTTCGTTGATTTTGGTCGTGTCAATGGCAACCTTGCGCTATCTCGAGCCATCGGAGATTTCGAGTTCAAGAAGAGCGCTGAGCTCTCACCGGAGCAGCAAATTGTGACAGCATTTCCTGACGTTATTGCTCACACAATTACCGATGACGACGAGTTCCTTGTTATCGCTTGTGATGGTACGCATAGAAGTAGCTGTGTATAACGCATGTACGTTCACTGACAGACATTGTCTAGGGATATGGGACTGTCAGTCTTCGCAAGCTGTCGTCGAATTTGTGAGACGCGGTATTGCGGCCAAGCAGGACCTCTCCAAAATCAGCGAAAACATGATGGACAACTGCCTCGCCTCAAATAGCGAAACTGGGGGCGTAGGCTGTGACAACATGACAATGATCGTCATTGCTCTTCTGAGGGGTAAGAGCAAGGACGAGTGGTACAAAGAGATTGGCGATAGGGTAGCCAAGGGTGACGGTCCGTGTGCACCGCCAGAATATGGTATTTCATCTTCTATACCTGCATATATGTATTGATACTAAAGGAGAGTTCAACAGCAGAATTTCGCGGTCCCGGTATGCGACAGAATTTCGAAGACAGTGGGGATGACTATGATCTCGACCTGGATCAGCGTAATCGCGGTGTGGGAGGTCGATCCGGCAGAATTATACTCCTCGGAGATGGGACTGAAGTCTTGACTGACAGTGATGAAACGGAGATGTTTGATCATGAAGAGGAAGACAAGGACCTTGCAAGTCAAGTCACCAAGGGTCAAACGAAGTTGGACAATGAGAGCAGAAGCGGACGGGAGGAGACTCCGGGACCTGACGAGAGGCAGCAGACACCCGAGCCCATTGAGCAAAATCCGTTTGAAACGCCTTCGTCGATCACATCAGACAAGTCCGACGCCATCGAGACAGCAAAAGCAAACTTCAAAGCGATTCCAGAGAGCGCTCTACCTGAAAAGCTTGTCACTCCGCCAACAACCCAGGATAAGAAGTAGACGCCGATGTGTCCAACCATTCTCAGTCTGACGTTCGGATACCTTTCCTTGCGGCTCGTTAGGACCTTCACGAGCTACGATTCTATGTATCTGTCACGAGTTTGTGACTACCCTTGACTAGCGATCATCATCATACTCTACGGTACAACTGGCGGTTTCACCAGCCGGGGCATCGCTCTGGACTCATCGTTTGCCGCCTTCCACCACGCATTGTCGGATCTAGAGCGATGGACTTCTCCATAGCGTTTCATATCCCTCGAATACCTTGATTCCCCTTTTTTTTCCGGCTCTCAATTCTCCACGTGCCACTTGTGCACGTCCTGCATCACCAGGAGTTATGTTACGATCGGATAGACACATAAAGCGCAGGCATCTATGTTCGCCTTCGATTTGTTCAAAGAGTATCTCACACAGTACTCTCTTAGGCCAAGCTATTCGGGAGAAGGTCGTCGTTGCCGAGTACAATTCCCACGTTACTGGTATGTGAAAATAGGGGGTGTCATCCGTGCCTCAATGGTATAGAGCATGTTGACTGGAATTTTATACACATAAATTTTGATCAGATCCTCGAACGACTTCCAAGTGATGTTTCCTGATGTCTGTAGGGCTGACCGTAGAAAGCTGTGATGACGATGTGAGCGTAGCAGAAGCAAGGAACCTCGAGATTCTATTGACCACCCTTGAATTTCTTCCTATTCGAGCTACTTATGTATGTGACAGGGTCGCCAATAACGAAAGATCTGTACATACTTCGACCCCCAAGATTTAATTGGTGTTCGACTTTTCCCCCTCAACCCCAGCCTTTGCTTCTCCCTCGACCTATTTTAATGCGAGCTCGCGTTCCAAAACTCCCCCAAAAAAAACACGCCTCTACTATTTTGAGGGACTCCTATATTAATCTATCATAATACCATGTCGTCCCCTTCATCATCGGGTTCCGCTAAGAGAAAGCGTACCTCAACTCTACAAAGCTCGACAAAACAATCTTCGACTGCAGACCTCCTCCAGCCATCATCTCGAGA